TCAGTGGGTAGGCAGCTGAAAGACCACTATGAATGTCAATGTGTTTGAAGACAGGATTCCAAGCTGGGAAACTACTGTATGTCTAGTACTTCTGTACATAAGAATGGCTATCCTGGATCAGACAAATGGTGCATCTAGCCCGGTATCCGATTCTGACAGTGACCAATGCAAGGACCGCTGAGAATTAACGGAACAGGCAATCATCAAATGATTTGTTCTCTGTCCTCCACTTCCAGCTTCTGGCAAACCAAGGCTAGGGACACTCAGGCTGCATCTAGATTGGCATGATTTTCCGGAAATGCTTTTAACAGAAAAGTTTTCCGTTAAAAGCATTCTCGGAACAGAGCGTCTACATTGGCATGGATGCTTTTCCACAAAAGCACTTTTTGTGGAAAAGTGTCTGTACCAATCTAGATGCGCTTTTCCGCAAAAAAGCCCCAATCGCCATTTTCGCGATCGGGGCTTTTTTGCGGAAAACAAATCTGAGCTGCCTACACCGGCCCTCTTGGCAAAAGCTTTGCACAAAAGAGACTTGCCTGAACGGGAGCAGAATAGTACTTCCGCAAGAAGCACTGATTTCTTACAGTAGGAAGTCTGTGCTTTTGCAGAAATTCAAGCGGCCAGTGTAGACAGCTGGCAAGTTTTTCCGGCAAAGCGGCTGATTTTCTGGAAAAACTGGCCAGTCTAGACTCAGCCTCAGCGTATGGGGTAACATCCTACCCATCCTGGCAAATAGCCATTGATGGACCTATTCTCCATGAATTTACATAGTTCTTTTTTAACACACTTATGGCTTGTATGTTGGTATGTGATTATCTCTCCATCTCAGACGAATCTGTTCTGAAAATATCTGAAATAGCTAATACAGGAACTAGCCCTGATACCCATTTCTGCAGAGCAGGGAAGAGGGGGAAAAACAACAGAGCAGAGAACTTTCACTGTTTTAAAGAGACAGAGCGTGGCTTCTCTCAGAATCTTACCCAACACAGTGCAGGCTCTGGTTATGTCTACACTGGTGGCTTCTTGTGCAAGAACAACTGTTCTTGCGCAAAAACTTGCCAGGTGTCTACATTGCACATGCGATCTTGCGCAAGTAAATTTACAGTACAGTGTCAGAAAACAGCGCTTCTTCCGGAAGAGTTATTCCTCTGCCCACGAGGATTAAGCCCTCTTGTGCAAGAGGGCAGTGTAGACAGGCAACATGAATTTCTTGCGCAAGAAACCCCTGTGGTTAAAATGGCCATCAGAGCTTTCTTGCACAAGAGAGCGTCCACACTGCTATAGACACTCTTGCGCAAAAGCACATGCCAGTATAGACGCACTCTTTTGCACAAGAATTCTTCTGTAAAACAGTTCTTGTGCAAGAAGCTGCCAGTGTAGACGTAGCCTGTGTCACTGTCATACACACCCAGTCTGTGCCCCCCCCACACACACATTCACACACACTCTTGTCTATTTACCACACACACTACATCTAGGGATGTAAAATCCCATTTAATTGGTTAACCTCTTAAAGGTATTGTTTAACTGTTGAATTGATTAAAGTCTGGGTAGAGGGGCCACTCCAATTGGGCTGGTCTGGAGAGGCCCTCCTGCCACAGGCAGCTCCAGCCAGGCTGGAGCAACCCCTGCCTATGGCGTGCCCGGGCCTGCCATGGACCGAAGCTCCTTTCAGAGAAAGGTGCTATGCAGTGTAAGGGCCTCAGAATCAGGCCTTGGATGATTATTATTGTCTTAGAATCTGCTACAAAAAGTGGCTTTGAAACACAGAAGTTTAGTTTGACCATCTCAAAAAAATAAATACAAAAGATAGAAAAGCATGTCAGACTCACCCCCAGGAGCTATGGGTCCCAGCTGTCACAAAAGGTTACCTGTGGCTGCAGGACTGGGCTGTTAGAGAGCCTGATCTACACAGCAGTGACTCCTCCAGGAAATCTCCTCTCTAGCTTTCTCCCCTCAGCAATGGAGCTGTCTCTCAGGGCAACCAATAAAACCACCAGCCCCTCTAGCTGTGTAACCACTCTCTCCAGCAGCAGGAAGAAATGAAAGGGCAGCAAGCTGCCTAGCCGCAGTGCTCAGACTCTTCACATACCTCATACAGTTAAGTCACAAATGTAACCTATCTGTGTGAAAGGCTTGAATACTCATGCTCTATTTCCTCTCTATTTATATTCATTTTAAAAATCAGGACATGAATTACAAGGTCAGTAGTGATCAAGTTATTGTCTCCTGCTGGATGTTTGGCCATTTGTGGGTAATGGTCACCATTCAGTTTCTGGTGAACATCTGCCTACCTCACAAAAGAAACCAACGAAAACCCTTACCAGTTAGTTCTAATTCACATCTGCAGAAAGAACAAGAAACCAGTGGTTATAAGGAGTACATGATTTCAGTCCAGGAGTGATGCTTCCAGGGCAGGCATGAGACATTCTAACTCTACCCCAGTTCTCTTTGCATACCCAAACTGCCTGTAAAGTCAGGTGAAGTTATGGGTGTATAAGGAATTCAAGATCAAGGCCATAAATAAAAAGCGCGGCAGAGAAGGTTACATTGAAGATAGTGTATTCTAAGATCTTGGCAGGTAGTGTCTCTTGTTCTGTGTTTGTACAGCACCTAGCACAATGGGTGCTTGATCATCTGGCCCTGCTGTAAAACAAATTAAAAACAAAAGCAATAAATATTGACTGCTGCTTAATATTAAGGGTCTGAATTGTTCTCAAAGTAAAGCAAAATCAAAGCTGATTCAGCAGGTCAGTTCTTTAGCTGCACCAGAGCTCAGAACCGAAAGATATGGGGAGCACAAGTGATCCAAGATAGTTCTGTGCTCCTTTGATCCTTGGGACCAGTTCTGCACCTTGTAAAGCTTAGGGCAGGTTCAGAACTGCTCTGCATTACACCTGGCTGCAAATTACAGTCAGGAACTGCTCAAATGCATCCATTAAATCCAGCCATCATGCCGTCCCTCTGCCATAGCTCTGACGTGCCCCACCCATTCCAGGGTAGCGAGAGGGTAGAGTAGAGTCAGTTACAGTAGTCTTATACAATTGTGGGTGGGGAGTTCCTCTAAACTATGGGAACCCTGACTGTTTTGAATTGCCACAGCTGTATTACCAAGAGCTGGGATCTGGCACTGTATCTTTATCCACCTGTTAGCAGCGGAGCACAATGCTCTGGAGAGTTTCTCTGTATATATTCATCCTTTTTATTAAAAAAAAAAAAATTTAAGATGAAAATTTAATTAAAAGGTAGAAATGTTGTTGAATGAATTTCCATTGCATCTATACAGCTCATGATACTGTGGGCATATCTAGACTACACTAGACTTTCGAAAGAGGAAAAGTCTTTAAAAATTATGAGGCTTACGTGGCTTGTCGACAAACGGGAGGGTTTGCCGACAAAACCGCATCTTAATTACTTTCACTTTCGAAAGTGAGCTCGAAAGAAGATATATGCAAATTCCTGTGGAATCTGCATATATCCTCTTTTGAAAGTCTAATGTAGTCTAGATACACCCTGACTAATCAAGGTGAAGTGAGGCTTTTCTGCTCATTCAGATGTACCAAAATTACAAATACAGTAACTCAGATGAGTTTTTGTATTTGATGGATGTTGTAAAATACACATGTAAAAGGCACAATATGCTGCATGGTAAACTATGGCCAAGAGATATAGTTGTCACAGTGATTGTTAAAAAATGGCTGTGATTGAAGACAGCTTGTGATTGATCGTGTAGTCCTGGTGAGGCCTATCATTCTGTAGGCTTGGGAGTCCACATCAGGATGGATTGCTACATATTGGGACATGCTGATTCCATGGGCGTAGATACCAGGATCTCAAATGGACCTGGCAGCTGGGAACTGTCTCACAGGCTACATCTACACTGCAGCGCTATTTCAGGATATCAGAGGTATCCCAAAATAGCTATCCCATGTCTTAACAGTAAGCCCATTATTTTGAAATATAACGGGCTTGCTATTCCAACTGTCCCTGTAAACCTCATTCCACCATGAGTAAGGAACGTTTCAGAATAGTGGGTTATTTTGAAATTTGGCGCTATGTAGACAGCGCCAAATTACAAAATTAGCTATTTTGAAATTGATTCCAAAATAGCTACACAATTTGCATAGCTCAAACTGTGTAGCTTATTTCAAGCTACAGGTGCAGTGTAGATGCAACCACATAGTGATACTGGGTTCCACAGTGTTATGGCTAGAACCCCAGAAATTTGCAGATTTTTTAAATGGAGAACAATCGTTTGCATATTTGCAGGATATTCATCACTTTATTTCCATAAAAATCCCCCACCCTCACTCTGCCAACCATTTCTGCCTGCGCCTCCCCTTCCATTTTCCTTGCTGGGCCTGTGCCATTTGCCATTTCGATGACACCGACAGGCTCTCCTTCCCCCCACTCAACTCTCCCCCGCCTGCAGCTTCTGTCTAGCTCCCCGCATCTGCCCTCAAGCGTCCTTGTGTACTTCACATCTCCCCTGCCACGCTGTGATGCAGGACCCCAGCTGGAGCATTAGTCCTCCACCCACCCCCTGCACCATAGAGAGATGGCCAGAGTGGCTGCTGACACAGTGTCTCTCCAGCACGCTGGCGCTCTACTCATGCTTGTGGCAGCTGGGCTGGGCTCCACTCTAGGCGGAGTCTCTATGGTTAGAATCCTGTGGTCTCCAAAGGGCACTGGCAGTTGGAAGGTGGCCATGGCAACAGACCCAGAGGAGACGGCAGCAGGGCCTCTCCCTATCCTAGAGATGGACCAGCCCTCGGGGGGCCCGATGGGGAGCAGGCCCCCGAGCAGCTGGGAGATGGGCAATGGCCTGGCCTCCCCCTCACTCACACACTGCGGCCTGGGCAGGAGCGACAGCAGCGCCGCCCTCCCTCCCTGCAGCAGCCCTGAGCAGGTGGCTCTAGGGGCCCCAGGGAGGAGCGACAGCAGCACTGCCCTTCGTCCCGAGCGCCGGTTCCGGCTGTGGGCGGCCGCCCTGCAGGAATACAGCTGCGAGCATGGGTCTGCGAAGTACCTGGCCTTGTGCGGCCTCGGTGGGGTGGTGAGCTGCGGCCTGACCCACACGGCTGTGGTGCCTCTGGACCTGGTAAAGTGCCGCATGCAGGCAGACCCCAGTCGCTACCGGGGCCTGATGCAGGCTTTTAATCTCACCCTCCAAGAGGAGGGGGTGCGTGGGTTGGCGAATACAGCTGCGAGCATGGGTCTGCGAAGTACCTGGCCTTGTGCGGCCTCGGTGGGGTGGTGAGCTGCGGCCTGACCCACACGGCTGTGGTGCCTCTGGACCTGGTAAAGTGCCGCATGCAGGCAGACCCCAGTCGCTACCGGGGCCTGATGCAGGCTTTTAATCTCACCCTCCAAGAGGAGGGGGTGCGTGGGTTGGCCAAGGGATGGGCCCCCACCTGTGTGGGCTATTCTCTGCAGGGCCTCTGCAAGTTTGGCTTATATGAGGTCTTCAAGCTGCGTTATGCTGACATGTTGGGACCTGAACGAGCCTACCTGTGGCGGACCAGCCTCTACCTGGCTGCCTCAGCCAGTGCCGAGTTCTTCGCTGACATTGCTCTGTCCCCCATGGAGGCAGCCAAGGTGCGAATCCAGACACAGCCAGGCTACGCGAATACATTACGGGTGGCTCTCCCCAAGATGTATGTTGAGGAGGGGGTGTGGGCCTTCTACAAGGGAGTGGGTCCGCTCTGGATGCGCCAGATCCCCTATACCATGATGAAGTTTGCCTGTTTTGAGCGCACCTTAGAGGCCCTCTATGCCTATGTGGTGCCCAAGCCACGCAGTGAGTGCTCCATGCCCGAGCAGCTTGGCGTCACCTTTGTTGCTGGCTATATAGCTGGTATCTTTTGTGCTATAGTTTCCCACCCAGCTGACTCTGTGGTGTCTGTGCTCAACAAGCAAAGGGGCAGCGGCGCTATGGAAGTCCTCAAGAATCTGGGCTTCGTAGGTGTGTGGAAAGGCCTCTTTCCCCGCATCATCATGATTGGCACCCTCACAGCCCTGCAGTGGTTCATTTATGACTCAGTCAAGGTCTATTTCAGGCTCCCAAGACCACCACCACCAGAGATGCCTGCATCACTGAAAGAAGGGTTTTTAAGTAGATTCAGCTCATAGATGCTGCATTGTACTGTTTCATTCATGGCTCTGTGGATCTGTTTCAGGCTTCTGTACCCATTCCCATCTCAAAAAGCTACCTCTCCAGAGAGAGACTGAGTGGAGTGGTTAACCTTTTCCCACAACTTCCAGTTTCATAATTTCTTCACTGCATTCATTCTGTCAATTTCAGGTTCCAACCATCATTTTAGATGCCCTAATCTCTGGACTTTTGGATTTACATTTGACAGCTGTGTTAAAGGTCTGTTTTTGCAAACTTCAGTTTGTCAGCATGTGGCTCTTAATGCCTGTGTTTATTTTGTTTTCCATGGATAGTAACTCTGAAAATTTAAATGCAACAGTCATATTCCCTATTATAGACAAAATGTACATGTTTTTAGATTGATGTTTATTTTGCACTCGTATTTAGTGAAACCAAAACATTAAAAATGGCTATGAATACTATACATAAGTTAATATGTTCAGAATATAATAATTTACACCATACTCAGACTAAAGGGTTTATCCACATTGTTTATTGGAATTCCATATTTGCAGTTTTGTTTACAGAGTATTATATTTTAAAGGTTAGGATATTGAGGACAGTTATTTATGTGTGTTTGATATAAAACTTCTGAGATGTTAGAAGTATTTGTTAATAGTCAATTAAACAAAGGTGTCCTGCTCCCAAATTAGATAAATCTGGGCAAAAAATAGTTAATCCTTATTATCCCTTATTTACATACTTTATGTTGAATAAATAATTTGGAATAGAAGAATAAGTATAATATGCCCTAATTTGGTGCCATTTCTATCTGTGGCAAACACCTTCCTTTATTTAAGCACAGATCGAATTGATGTGTGCTGTGGAGTTTTTTTGATAAAAGGGATATGGGCATGATGTAACTTAAATGAGATATGGCCTGCAAGTTATTCAGCTATGCATGAATGCCAAACAAAGTACATCTGAACATAATTTTCCCTGGAATGTTGTTTATTAAATGTTTACAAATGTTATGTGGAAATTTAAAGAGTTAACAAAGCAAATAAAAATGCATTTTGTCCTGTGGGAAATCATTATTTATAAAAGTGTTTGTCACTGTGAAAATATAGAATCTCTATGGAATGCTGCTGTTATAGTAAGACAATAAGTAACTGTAGTACACTAGTCACGTGCAGTGGGCATTTACAATTGATTGAAAGGAAAACTAAGAAAATTCTGCAACACTTCTACATAAATGTAAAACTATACTGTTCTGGCCTAATCCAAAGCCCAGTGAAATTAGCTGAAAGATTCTGATCAACTTCCCTGGGCTTTGGATCAGTTTTCTGTGGAATTAAAATAGCCACAAGTCATAGCCAAGAAATGTGTGACCAGAAATGTACATAACTTCTACCCTTTTGAAATGCTTGCATTGTATATACATTAAATGGCCCACAACAAGCTGCTGTTCTACATCTTGCATTCACTGACATGCAAAAAAGGTTAAAATTGCAACATATATATTATGTGCCACCTTTCAGGTAAACAGTTGTAAAGAATAAACAATGACAAATATACCTTCTAATTTGAATACATATAATTTTGGAAGCACAGAGAAAGGTACATTAACTCCCATTTATATTTGAAACTGAAAAAGTATGAGTTTTACAATGATACTAAGCTTCATTAAACTTTATTGACATCTTAGCAATTATATTGAAATGAGCAGTTGTTTAAGAAGCCCTGTAATTGATGGACTAAACACTAATATCCCAGTCCCATGGAGCTGTGATGTAAGTACTCATTTAAAAGTAGTGAGAACTCTACCCTCATCAAATATGTAAGCAGCTATCGCTTTCCTTTCATCTTGTTCCTCTCAACATTGCTGCTATTATAATCTTTCCAAATATGGTATTAAAGCAAAAAAGGGAAAAGAAGGTGCATCTGATTTGTCGTCAGTGGGTCCTGTAATAGCATAATAAATTTTGGAATTCTTGAGTGTCATTTGCATCCTGTTACTGACCTTGGAGGCCAGCTATGTGCCAAATGATTTCAATCTTCTGTATAGTAATTCACTTTTAAATGACATAGCATCTATAATTAAGCAGTAATTCAAGCAAAACTGTACATCTTGGAGCCTAGTTCCTTATCCTGCACCACGTGTAGTCATTTACACCAGTGCAAGCTGGGTGAAGAATGGGTGTAAAATGCACCAGATCAGAATGGTAGTAATTTAAACCCACTTTGCATTGTCATTAATTGCACAAGGTAAAAGGCAATGATCTAGTCCAGAGTACTAGATGCATTTGGATACCACCTACTATTTGTACTGCTGCCAGCTGTTATGTGTATGACTGAAGGGAGTAACTGAAGTGAAAATAATCTAGCTGCCCAAGGCTACGTCTACACTGCAGTACTATTTTGGGATACCAGAGGTATCCCAAAATAGCTATTCCGTGTCTTTTGAGCACACCCATTATTTCAAAATATAACGGGCGCACTATTCTGATGTCTCTGTAAACCTTAATCCACGAGGAGTAAGGAACGTTTTGGAATAGTGATTTATTTTTAAATAAGTGCTGTGTAGACAGCGCCAAATTTCAAAATAAGCGATTTCAAAATGGACTCATAAGTGATGCAATTTGCATAGCGCAAATTGCATAGCTTATTTCGAGCTATGGGTGCAGTGTAGACGCATCCCAAGTAATTATTCATTTTTCTAGGCAGGTTTGTACAACCTGCAATGAAACTTATGCTGCTATGGCTTCACACTTCCAGTGCTCAAGCTGGCTAGGTTAATGTTAGCCCACATGTCTAATCTTAACTGCCATCGCATCTTATATCTAAACTACATTCATATCCTACTTACTGCCACTGTTCTCATTTTATTGTGTGAGGCGTGGCCACCTTCACTTTAATATATGAGCTCATTACATTACATGAGCACTCGTCTATACATTTCCTGGTTGCAGAAAATTCCACAAAGTCTCAATGCCAGAAACCATGACAACAAATTCTTACTCTTCCCTCCTGTGCAGATATTTTGGTAACTTGCTAGAAGGATTTATTGCCCCCCTTGCTGGGCCATCTGTCCAAATAGAAGATGCATTACCACATACATACTGCACAATCTGCAATTCTTCCACAACAAAACATAATTAACAACTGGAGAGAGTAATTATAAAGGCAAGAAGATATGTTCTCAATTGATCTGAATGAGGCTGCTTATGTGAGCAGCATGGGTAGGATTTTGTTTGTTCATTTCTCCACACTTCAAAACAATCAATAACAAAAAAAATCTATTTCTGCTAGAATTGGTTTTTAATATCACTCCAATATCTTGAGAAAAGTGGAGAAACTTTAGTATAAAGTACATACAAGTCATATTTTGTAGTAAAATATACTTTAAGGAATTATTATCTTGTAAAAAGGAAGAGAAAACTCACCTGGAAGTTTCAAGTTATTGAAATCAATAGCAATAAAGGCTGTCCTTCCTTTTGGCTTTTGTACAGTTTACAATGCTGTTGGCAAAAGAAGTCAACAAAGCAAGAGCTGTTTTTCTCTGACATTCCTTCTAACAGTTTAAGGTGTGACTATATTGTTAGCATGTAAATTGTTCTTTTACGATTTTGAATTATGATCAACATTTTCTTACAAAAGCCTGCAACTAATTCTTGGTGCTATGTTACAATGTTACAATGCAATGCAGTTGTGGTGAGTATTTGCGAGATTTTGCATCCACCTTTTACAAAATGCTTGCATTCTGGTCATGAAATTTCAGTTGTTAACATCCTAAAACACAAGTGAAAAGTGCTAGCCCTTGCAAAAATCTTGTTCTATACCTATGCTCATCAGTGGTCTTGATTTTATAGAAACAAAACCCTCTTTCATTAATATCAATCAAAAATAAATATTTTATTATCTCTAAATACGAGCAGATTAAATCTGATGTTAAACCTGTCTTTAGAATTTGTAGTTATACGTAGGATGTCTATTCTAACATTGTCAGAAAATCAGCAACTCTATAATTGGTACTTTATTATTAGCTGTTCTCTGTATTCATTATATATTATTATACATGTTTCAGATCTAAAATACCTGAAGCAATAGATAGCACATGGCTGCCCAAAATGAAATTTTGAAGTGGGTTCTCCCTCCTATGCATATTTTGAAGTAATTCCCCCACTACCTAATACAAATCGCCTCCCCACCAGCTTCCTGCCACACAGCCAAAATGGTTATTCCCGTCTGGACTGTTTGATTTCCTATTGGACTGATTTCCTGTTTATATATAACATGCAAGGCCTTGCTATTTGCTGCACATATACTGAAAGCAAAGTAGTAATGAAAGCAAAGTAATATATCTTTGCAGTCTGGACAGGCAATCTTGAACTAAGTGGAAATGGATCAACTACCTCAAACAAAACTTAACAATGAAGTTGATAGCAGCACACCACTGACAGCACCCAAGCATTGAAGAAAAGGAAACCACAGTAACTGAGCTGGTCAATAATTAAAATATAGGGCCTGATTCTTATTTTATTTGCACCTGTTTTGCAATGTATCATTCTATTGGGCAAGATTCTGCCATGTTTTACACCAATGTAAGTCCAGAACAGTTCCACTGGACTTCCTGAAGTTACACTGATGTAAATCCAGTGTAACTGAGAGCAGAATCCATCCTACTAGAATTGTACTAGATATGCATCTTCCATGCATATATTTTTCCATTGAATAACTGATAGAAGCATAACTGCAGTCCCCATAAAATGGAAAGACAAGGTAATAGAAGAGCACAACTCTCAAACTTGGGTGTCTAAAACTAGTCATTTAACTCCATATTTAGATACCAAAATGACCTGATTTTAAAAGTGCTGTAGATCAAGCACTGTAGGGCTGTGTCTACATTGGCACGATCATGCGCCAAAGCAGCTGCTTTTGCGCAAAAACATGCTGCCTGTCTACACTGGTGTGGCGTTCTTGCGGAAGAACGCTGATGTTCTAATGTATGAAATCAGTGCTGCTTGTGCAAGAACTATGATGCTCCCACTCGGGTATAAGCCCTCTCGTGCAACTGTTCTTGCGCGAGAGGCCAGTGTGGACAGGCAACATGAATTTCTTGCGCAAGAAAGCCCGATGGTTAAAATGGTCATCGGAGCTTTCTTGCGCAAGAGAGCGTCTACACTGGCATGGATGCTCTTGTGCAAAAGCACATCTCTTGCGCAAAGGCACATACCAGTGTAGACGCGCTCTTGCGCAAATACTTTAACACAAGAACTCTTGCGTTAAAGAGTATTTGCACAAGATCATGCCAATGTTGACGTAGCCTAGGTGTTTTCTGGAAACCAGGCCTAAATTTAGGTACCTAAATATGTTTTTAGAGGCCTAAAGCTAGTTGCAAAAAAACCCCTACATGAACAGTTGATTCTTTCACACCTTAAAAACCTTTGTCACTTCCTTGTGCTGCCGCTCTTTCTCCTGGGCTGGCTGCGTGTGCATTGCAGTGCACTGGATGGGAGTCCTAATCCCCTACAGTCTGGGTGGGGAACCTCAGGCCTGGGGGCTGGCTTGCCTGGATCGGGCCCCCCTAGGCTCAGTGCTCCCCCCAGCATTGGGGAGCCTGCACTGGCACTCCAGTCCCCCTGCTGTCCCACCATGGGGCTGGAGTACACAAAATCTACTAGCCTGGGCTCCCCTAGGCTCTGGTGTGTGAGGAGAATGTGAGGAGTGTCTTTCTACTTCTCAGGCAGGGGCCACGTCAGTGACGGTGTGTTTTGTTTTTCTGCTTCACACTTGTGTATAGCCCCTGATTCATTTTTCTGTGGGTCAGCAGCCCCCAATCCTAAAGTTTCCCCACCTCTGCTCTTCAGCCACCACTGTTGTGGTCTTTACCTCCATTTTCCTGTGCTTCTGTTTACATGAAAACTGAGAGCTTGGATTAATCCATATTTTTTTTAAGATCAGAGAGCCATTGCAGAAACTACTGCCTTCTGCTTGCTCTGACCTTGCAGTCCAGGGCCCTGCCTTAGTTCCAGCAGGCAGGGTAAGTCTTCTGACCCCTACAGTCACCATCTACATCCGTTCAGCAGCT